AATCCCCAAACAGGCGAAAACCTACCAGTTTCACCCACTGTCTCTGCCACCTCCCTCCATGCCTGGTTCCTCCGGTTTGTATCCCGGTAAATAAATAGGGACTGGTCATAAAGAACCGGGTGATTTGCTACCGCAATAACACATTTTTCCTCCATTTTGTTAGGAATATAGAAATGAACTGCGGTATGTCACTCCCAGCTTACACGCGGTTTGATTGGCTAGCGCTTGAACATTCAGATTTGCAAAAACGGGATTTGATTGGCTGACGCTTCCACCTCAGCTTCAAAAGTTGAACATTGCTCAACTTTTGAATCCTGGCGGCCCCTACACACGGCGGCGTGCGGTGACGCTTCAACGCTTCTGCCCATTCACTTTGAATGGGGTGACGTCACGATTCGCCGAACTGCATTGTGGGAGCAAAGCGTAGCTTTTCTCGCGGTGCTCGCTGCAAAAGTAGAGCAATGTTCTACTTTTGAAGCTGAGGCGGAGGTGTCAGCCAATCAAATCCCGCGTATGCAAATCTGCCAGTACAAGCGCGAGCCAATCAAACCGCGTGTATGCTGGGAGAGCCAGACCGCAGTTCATTTCCTCATATGCCAAAAAATGGAGGAGAAAATAATCGTAGCGGTAGGGAATCACCCGGTGCTTTCAGTCCCTGTTCACCTACCGGGATACAAACCGGAGGAGCCAGGCATGGAGGGAGGTGGCAGAGACAGTGGGTGAAACTGGTAGGTTTTCGCCTGTTTGGGGAGTTTATATCCAGTTTACTTCGTTTGAATGGACAGCAGGCATAGACAGTATTTAGCCAGCATGGAATGTTGCGTAAAATAGCACCATAGACATTAATGTCATAAATGTTCATCATATAAAGTGTGACATGTAAAACCTTTTATGCAATTGACAGCAGAGATTCATGTGATTGGTTGTTGGTCGCCTTGCTCGCGTAAACTCCCCAAGCTCAAGACACGCCCACCGCCAAGCGGCAACGCACGCCGCCGTGTGTAGGCGGCGTGAGATGCCTGGAAATCTCCGCTCTGCTTCCCACAATGCAGTTTGGCGAAAAGTGAGGCAAAGTGACGTCACCCCATTCAAAGTGAATTGAGTGAGTGAGTTGGATATAGGTATATGAATAAATACAAATACAGCGTTAATATCAATAAAAGTAATGAGGTGGATTGACTAAATAGATCGCCGTACAGCGTACATACCGATCAGGCTTTCCTATCGATGACGCAGAGAGGGGAGAGCTTCATGCTTTTTATGGCTGCGTTGACAGGCTGAACCCGGAGGATCCTCCACTAGGTGAGGCAAAGCAGGGCTAAGTAGTGATGGCAGTTTGACACTGAAGCTTCGAATGGAGCTTCAACCCTGGACTTCCTATTCCATAGAAGCAGTGATTCGAAGCTTGCTTCAAATCACGTGACATATGACGTCAGAAGCAGCAACTGCTTCAAATCACCTGACATATGACGTCAGAAGCAGCAACTGCTTCAAATCACGTGACATGTGACGTCCGAAGCACCAACTGCTTCATTTCCTGAATGAATCAACTCACTGGTTCGCCGTCCAATCACGCGATTCAATGCACTGCCTCGTCTCTATTCTGACAGGTGACAGGTTGAAACAGTTTCGAATTTGAGCGCTTCAACACTTATAACCGCTCTAAACAATGAGCAATGTGTGGGTTGTTGTCGTAGTTTGCGTTGTTGCTGTTGAGTTGTTGTTGGTATTGCATTTGAATTGGATCATTATAGAGCAAGCCAGGAAGAAAGATAGGTCGTTGTGGCTCGGGAAACACTTCGAAATGTGAAGAAGTTGTGAACAAAAAGACAATTATGAGTAATATAAAAACAGTTCAATAGTTTGAGGAATAGATAGCCCAGTGGATAGGGCCGGCGGCCCGAATGCAGCGATGTCCTCCGTGCAGCTGGTTCAAAGCCTGGAATGGTTGAACTTTGAATCATTGCTTTTCAACTTTAATACTTTAATAACTGATGGCCCTCTCCGCCCAAAAATAATTCCAGCACTCTCTAGTCTCTTCTCAATAACCCAATACACACAATTATCAATCTTTAATTGCAAATAGAACATGATATTCAGTCTTAGTGTGTGTGTGCATCGAATATTTTTCAAGGCAAAGATACGTTAAACCCACTGCAGCCTTGCACTTCGCCAGGAGAGGTCGCTGTAACTGAAGCTTCGAGAAATGAACCTATTTCCGACACAATTGTCCAAGTGGTTCGATGCTTCATTCAAAGCTTCATTTTGCCATCACTAGGGCTAAGTATCAATACGCAGGCAGAACCTTTCCTGAAGCGAGCAATGCAACTACAACATACCTGCACCGGTGGCGGAAGCAAACACGCAAGTGGGGCAGGTCTGTGTACCAACAAACAAGAGACAGCCAGCTAGAAACCTCTGCCCTTTCATAGGGTGCCCCCTGGTGGTGATATGCTCACAAGAGCCAAACGAGGAGAATATGCTTTACAAGGGATTAGGACTCTCACCCTGCTACATAATGATTGATCATGAAAGTGTTCTCAAAGCTGGTAAAGGTGGAGCTAGTTTGAATGACTTTGTATACTGCAGGGTAGCTTGTGAATTTACTCCAGGTGGAACTAAAGTCTGATTTAACACTTGATTAGATTTCACATCATTCATCCAGATCTGTAAAGTAACTGCATTTCCTGCTGAAAATGTGTGCAAATGCTGTAAACTGTGAACATTTGTTGCTGAATTTAGCTGAAAATGCAGAAAAGCTGAATATGTTATTAGCTGAATGGTCTCTGTAGCTGCTTTTAGCTACAGAAACCAGTGTGTTGCTGAACTTAGCGAAGAAATGCAGAAAAGGGAAATGATTTGAATCAAAATTGTTACAGCTCAAATGCATTGCAATGACTTTGTTGAAAACTTGAAAGTGAACTGTTAAACTGGAAGAGTAGGACAAATAGTGAAGAAGCTTAATATTTAAAAGAAAAGGTTTAAAAAAGGTATAAACAACAAGATGTATAGCCTCAATGTCCTGAAATAGCTAAATAATGTAATAGTTGAATAGTTTCTGCAGCTGAAAGTAGGCTGAAGGAGTTACATATCAGATGTAAGTAGTAGTGAATGAATGTGTATTAAGAAGAGAAAAGAAAGTAAAAACGCTTTGAAAAGCATCAGAATATTTTAACTGCAAACATTTGAACTAAAACCAAACGTTGCGAATAATGTATAAAATAGGTGGAACATGTTGAAGTCAGTATGAAGTCTCCATCAGACAGAAAATAATAGGCTGAGACAGTCTTTAAACTCCAGTCTGTTTGTTAGTGTTTGAGGTGACAACGTTATCATAGGGAGGCGTGTGATGCAGGTTCATACCCCACTGCAGTCAGCATGTCATTGTGTCCCTGGGCAAGACACTTCACCCCAAAATTGCTCCTGTGGGGATTGCCCACAGTATTGAGTATGTAAGTCGCTTTGGATAAAAGCGTCTAAAAAGTGACATGTAATGTAATGTAATCAAAAACCTGTGTGTGTAAGCCCAGAGATCAAAGGTTACCATGGTGACGACGTTATCAAACACCTGTGTACTGAGCCCAGAGATCAAAGGTTTCCATGGAGATGTGCTGTGAAAAGAGAGCCTTTACATTGTTCTGAATGAGAAATAAACCTCTTACATTTCTAACTGCTTTCGGTAAAATGTCAACGCGTGAAGCATGAGCGTCTGAGTCTGCTTTTTGTGTACTTTCGGGTCAATAATGTGGCATTTTTGGCAGATTTACTAAAGGTGAGCAGCTGCTGCTCTGAGGATAGATCAGGCTGAATTTACAATGGGCCTTAATGGAGACATGTTGAAAGTTTTTGTCACTTCATGCCCTCAAGAGGCATTTTGTTTAATTGTTTTGCTTAATTTTTCAACGTAAGAGAGGTTTTCCTACAATTCAAGCATAAAATTATGTTGAGTGTAGGGTTTGGGAATTATGGCAGTTTAAAAATAAAAATGTAAGGCGAATTTCAAGCTGTCCCCCGCTCTAGCTGTGACATCACGCACTCTAAGCCTTAACGAGCTGCGCAATACACACTAATGTTAAAATCTGAAGAAGGCCTCTTTACCAAGCTCAAAACGAAGTTAAATATCTCAAAAAGTGTAAAAGATGTGAAAAATCTGAAGAAAATGTTTTATAGCTGAAGGTCTTGTGATCATTTGAAAGTTGGAATGAAGTCTCTAGCTGAAAGTATGTGGAAGGAGTAGCATTTGGTGCACGGTGTAGGTAAAAGAGGATTTGAAGGCTCCTCCCATTGAGTTACATGTTAAAAAAAGAGTTTAAAAAGCTGAATATTTCAAAAGGTATAAAATATTTTGAAAAAGTTGAAGGTTTCCCATGATGTTGCACAGCATTCGCACTAACTAAAGGTATTAAATACATGCATGTAGTGGAGTAAAAGTACTTGATTTACCTCTGAACTGTAATGGAGTAGAAGTACAAAGTAAAACATTTAAATACTCAAGTAAAGTACAGGTATATCTCAAATGTGTACTGAAGTACAGTACTTGAGTACATGTGCCTAGTTACTTTACACCACTGCTCATTTACCTTGTAGTGTGTAGATGTGGATGATTCCATGTTTCTGTGCTGTGCAGTGTGCACACACGTCAGGTGTCTCAGTTGTTAGAGCTGGCATCCCATAGTGTCGCTGCCAGGCACCTGGACGTCCGAGGCCATCGCTTCTATCTCCCCTTTAAACACTATAGCTCCAATAAAGGCACTCTCTGACAAAGAAAAATAGTTTCAAACTTCACAGAAAAACTGTGCAGCTAAATGAATCCAATTAACAGATTTCATGTGAACGCATATTCCTGATAGGGAGCATTTATTTGGAAAATATGAGTTCAAGTTTGAACAGAGACTACAATCAATGGGAAATGTTCCAGTTTCATTCTGGAACTTGGGTGAAACGTATCATCAGTTTATGAAGATAGTCATTTGTGATGATGGAGTTTTCTTTGACTTTAGGGTGGAAGAAATGAATTGGAGACAGTGGAGGACAGATGTTGGTCATATCCAGGAGGAAGACCCTGGGGACAGGATGATGAAGCCACAGCCCCCCGAGCAGACCCCTGGTAAGACCCTACACACAACTTGTATTCGTTGTTTGTACTGCTAAGATGTCACCAGTTCTGAGGAACCATGTTGTTTCAGGGAACCGGTGGAACCTCAGTCCGCTCCTGGAGAGGCTGCGTGGCAGACGGCGCCACCCGCAGCCGAGCATCACCTCCAGATCCTTTCAACCAGGGCTACCATTCTGAACACTCATATATCCATGTACTTCTGAGCATTTCTTTGTAGCCAGAGAAAGAATAATAGTTTGTACGGTTGAGAAACATAAACTACAGATGATCCCAGCTATAACTACACCTCTATAAACACAGGGGCTGTTTTCAATGGTAGTTTGTAGGTAGGTCATGGCTGTGGATTGTTTTAATGTATTTGATAAAAGAGTTAACTAATAAATGTATACTTTGATATTGACTTGAATGATCAAAAACCATATGTATATGTGCATAAAGACAGTCACTCATAAAAGCTTTGTGTTTGCAAACTTTATTTTGGTTAGGGGGAATGTTTGTGCAAGACATTTTATTCCTGAAGGTTAGGCAAAACTGGAAAATCACATTTTCACAAAGTAGAGAAAGTAAGCCCCCCTCCACCACCGTTCACAACATGACACATCTTTGAGATCAAAGACAGCCATACTAATGGGAGTAAAACAAATCTAGAGAGTTGTTTGATACCCGCAGCCCAATAAATATTGCCATCAGTCAGCTAACAGGATGAGCTGACTCCTCCAGTACTGACATGCACTGTGAGCACGTCTCTGCTGGAGGATTACATTGTGAAATGGATCCAAAGATCAAAGGTTCAAGGGAAACATCTGAATCTTGCTTTGTGGGCTGTAAGGTGCAGGCAGAAACAACTCACTCTAAAAAATGTTTATTCCGTTCACATCTTTACACTTTACTTCACAAGGTTTTCTTTAACCGTCCAAAGGAGGGCTGCAGCTCTCCTTTGTCACCAGGGTTTTGCTTATTACTGTTAGAACATAAGTTCCCAACCCAGCTGGAGGCCGGTGGTCCAGAGAGGGACGCTCTGTCACTTTGGTCAGTGAGTCAGCAGCAACAGTTCACAGTCCCGACAGCCTCTGGGACTCGTGGCACACTTCAGGACTTCAGTCCATCACACAGTATCAGTAGTTACCCTAAGTAGCTTGGTCCCCCATCAGAGATTAACTTTGTGCACGTTAGTCAGTGTGCACGCCTGTGTGCAAGTACCCAAGCTTAACATACAGACACACGCACCCATTCACACACTTCTCCATACTACGCCCAGTGGAGGCACTTCATATGAAACTGTAGAACCTGACGGTGTCGGGCTGTGACCAGGCGGGTCAGAAATAAACAGGGCAGCACTGTCTAATGTTTAGTGTTGATTTAAAGTTACAAGGATAGTTTGGATGTTTCAGGTGGGGTCATGTCAGGTACTTTTTCATAGTCTGTAGTTCCCTAATGCTGGTCTCCCGCTGCATCGATCAGTTAGTTTGTGTGTTATTGTGTGGCTTTGGTTATTCCAAACTAAACTGTAAAACAACAATATAACAAACAAACTAACCGATTGAGCGGTACACCAGCAGCTCTTGTGTTCAGGGTCAAATCTGTTGTATCACAGGAGTCTGGTGGCATTGAAGAGGGCATTAATAAGGGCTTCAGTCTGACGGGCGTTTGAAGGCAAGGTACAGCAGGAAGTATTCTTTATAAAGTATTCCAATGCATTCTTTTTTTAGAATGTCCTTTCTTTAGGGGCTTAAATACATGTTGCTGCCCCCCTCTACAGCAGTACACTGCTCTGCTTCTGAGCTGGTACTCCTGTATTTTCCCCAAACTGGGGGGTGCTGAACAACATCTACTGTAGGTAGTAATACACATGAATACCATATACAACTCTTCTTAAAACCATCCAAACCATCCCATTAGAAACCCCAACAGATGGGTCAAACTGATGAAAGCTACTCTGGTCAGTTATTATACATTTAAAATAAAGAATAAACACTAGCAAAAAGTACCAGCATTTGAGTTGACCCTTCCCATAAATAGGAACTTATTGTCACAAATACAGCCCATACATCAATTACTATTCATTCACACGCACACACAAATCATACTAGTGTGTGTTAAGATTAAAGTCAATAGCAGCTTTAAGTGGCAGGCACATCAAAAATGAAAGCCGGGAAACAAAAACAAAAAAACAAGTATGTCGACCAAAATCCAGAAAGGCTACAGTCTGCATCTCAGCTCTGGAGATCACGGATCATCGCGCCATCTCTTCTCCCTTTTGACCTGTACTGTATCCTGCCAACGGTGCAGAGGATAAAAGACTCTGCGGTGTGAAAGACTACAGATTAAAGCGTGGATGCAAACCCCTTATTTGCCACAGAGCGCAGACACATCAGTTCACACTGTCTGCATCAACATGTGGCACCTAATGTGGAAACACCTATGGCTTCAGGATGCAGTGGACCAAAAAACAATAAATTAAACTATATCAGGATATTTATTAACAACAACAACTAAAACAGTCCAAATACTTTAAAGTAACTGCTACAGCCCTGTTCTACAAACCATTAACTCTGCTAAATGCTATTATATCATCTTAAATCCTTGATAGGCAACATTTCAGACAGTAGGATGGGTAATCTACCAACACATATGAGTAGCATTATTACCGTAATAATTCAAATCAAGGCCATAGCCTAATCATATGAACACTGCCCAATGATCCGACAGTACTGATTTCAAATGAACCAACGCTCAGAAACTAATATTTACTCATTCTTACAATGATGTATGGAAGCCAATTTCTGCCAATGTGATAAAGGAAAATGATCCTAAGAAACGTTCTCAAAATAACCAAACAACAAAAAGATAGGTAGTGGACATAAGTCTGTGATGGAAAATATAGTCAAAATATTCTCATGACAAGGCTAATTTTAGATTTTCCTTTTACTGGCGGAAATAGGATTCCATAATAAAGCCATAACTAAGTTGTGATCCTGGCAAAGGAAGTCAGTTAAGGTTTGTATAAAGAAGAGAAGAACTACTGTGACATTTAAGGCTTTTCCAGAAGGCTTGAGGCTAGCAGAGCGACGTTAGCCCGGACAACATCAGACCAGCCGGGGACTGGAGGACATGGGTCCATTGGTTCATGCTAGACACATCTAGCAACACATAACCTGCATTAAATGTTACACTTTTTTTCCTTTATAGGTAGCAGATACAACACGGGGTGGGGCCAGTGATTAGTAGATGAACAGCCCCCCACAAGCCACACAGATAATGTCCCCCCCACATCAGTTCACTTGTGTTACAGTAGCAAAGTGGTGAGGAAATGTGTTGCAGAATTTGAAGTACTTGCATGCTTGCAAGTGATCAATTAACGTTCACACACTGACATACACACACCATTTTAACATTAAATGGGATGCCGTTGGGTTTCACATTAGCTAAAGACAAATAGGGCTAATGGTGGTTCTGCTCCTTTTGCCAAATGTTAGGCATAACATTTGAAAAGTAATTTCTACAGTTCAAGTAGGACCATCTAAAGAAACAACAAACTAATCAAATAACTACTTCATAATCAGTTCTCAAATGATTACACACAAGAGGGCACTTTAGACTTTCCAAATGCAAGAGAAACCACTAGCAACTTGAGAAACTCATTAGAGAACGTTACCGTTTTTGCTAGTGCTGACTGTTTTATTTTACATTTAATTCAGTTTGAAATGGGGTAAAGTTCACCAAAGAATCAAAAATATATTTTCCTCATCACTTTAGTATGAATTAATCTGGATTGTTTTGGTGTTTGTGGCTAATGGAACTAGTTGGAACTTGGTCCATCAACCAACAGTATCACAGCGCATAGGGAAGCATGCGGCTACATGTGGATGAGGCTCACACCCATTGGCTGTCCCTTAACATTCTACATGATGAATACCACTACAGGTAAGGAGAACAAATCTATATTTTTGATTCTCTTTAACAGTGATAGTTAGTCATTTCCGCACACTGATCAGCGATGGAACAACAACTACCTGAACCAATCAGTGCAGTTTAGAAGCCTTGTTGTATTCCTGATAGAAGCAGGTGTACACCTCAACCATGGGAGAAAAATCCTATCAACAGTCTCATTAATTGCATATACATGTAACCTTCTTGTTTAAAATGGATCACAAACCAGTTACGAGGATAAATAATTGCAAATAAAAACATTACACATGGACATCCTAAATCTTGCCTTTGGGCAGTTTTAAGGCCACAAATGCTTAAAAAAAAAGTCAACCTAAAGCACTGTGACAATCATGGCAAGCATATTCTCAGCTGCAAATCAATATTTTAAAAACACCATATATACAGGAACAAAGAGCAGCACATCCATGCCAGTGATGAAAATAGGAAATCTACTCAACAGTGGACGACAATCTCAAAAACCCATCATCTGCAACAAAGGTACGACATGGCTTAAGACCTGAGTATGTTGTGAGAGATCACAACCTGGTGAGTCTAATCAAGCTCTGAAGCTTCACATTTAATTGATCACTTGCAAGATCTTAAAGAATAAACCACAGAAGCTGAAAATAGCTGTTGAGAAAAACCCAAACACACCAAGCGGGGATCGGAGCACGCTCTAGCGATAGCCTGGGTGATGAGCGTGAACACCCCCACCATTGTTGGGCTCCTGAACCTGGCTCATGGCTGACCTGTGCATCTTCTCCAGCACATGCTCCATGTTCTGCTCCTGAAAGCTGGGCATCTGGAACTCTCCTCCTAAGAAATCCACATTCTGCATCAACTTGGACTGAGCAGGGGGCCCCTCCTTCCCTGGCCTGTACTTGGCCCCTGGGATGCGGTCTGTGGAGGCAGCAGCCTGCCCTCCCTGGAAAGACACTGGGAGGTCCTGAGGGCCTGATCCATTGTGACCTGCTGTGGCTGGCATGCTGCCCCACTGCGGCTGCATGTAGTGGTCATTAATGTAAGGCATAGACCCCACAGGGCAGTTAACGGGGGAGGAGGGTGGGAGTTTTTCTGCAGGGTGTTTTAAAGGAAAGGACTGTGCAGTGTTGGGGAGCTTGTGGGAATAATTTAGGTTTCGAGACGGGAAAGCACACTCAGTGGGAGGCTCCATCCTTGGGTTCTTGCAGGGATGGGCCCCCTCAGGGGGCTGCTGCATGTGAGCCATCTGATGCTGCGCCCAGGAGCGCTGCTGCTGCTGCTGCTGCTGCATCTGCAGCTGCTGTTGTAGGTGTTGGTGCTGCTGTAACTGCTGCTGCTGCTGCTGCTGCTGTTTCTGCTGATGGAGATGATGGTGCTGCTGCTGCAGCTGGAGCCTCTCTGGGTCTGCATGAAAGGCAGATGTATTGGGCTGTGAATGCAGCGCAGCATTGGGAGTGTGAGCTGTAGCTTTGTCCAGGGGTCCCATCATGTGGCAGCTAGGCCCAGAGCCCAGCCCCGGGTGGTGACAGGACACCCTGGAGCTGGCGTTGATCAGCAGGTTGCGGCTGATGGGGCTAGGGTTTGCGATCTGGCCCTCACAGACTGAGGTGGCGCCCATACCCGCCCGTGCCTGGCACAACTGGTTGATTTGTTGCACAATGCTGCTCAGGTCACTGGGCCGGTTCTGATGCAGGCTGGATGCCATCGACAGTGGGATGGTGGAGGTAGATACAGTTACATTTGGTGGGGCATCTGCGTCAGGGAGCTTCCGGGGCCCGTATGCCCCTGGTGGGGGCTGCTGGAGGCTATTAGGCATGGTAGGAGTTCCTGTACCCTGTGCCTGGGGAAGGGGCTGTGAGCCAACCAGCCCCTGGGTGTGCTGCAGGCTGGGAAGGTGAGCCCCATCAGACATGTGGCGCAGGTCCTGAGTCAGTGAGTGTTGTGAAAGTAAAGCTTGCGGAGGAGCCGTCGGATGCTTCAGTGTCTGCAGATGAGAAAGATGCTGCTGCTGAGCGGCAGGTGGAGCAGACTGGTTCTGGTTCTGGTTCTGGTGCTGCAGGGCCTTGGTGTGAGGCGCACTCTGCTGCTGCTGCAAGGCCTGGGTGTGAGGCGCACTCTGCTGCTGCTGCAGGGCCTGGGTGTGAGGCGCACTCTGCTGCTGCTGCTGCTGCTGCTGCTGCTGCTGCTGCTGCTGCTGCTGCTGCTGGGCCCGAGGCGCACTCTGCTGCTGCTGCTGCTGGAGGGCCTGGGTGTGAGGCGCACTCTGCTGCTGCTGCAGGGCCTGGGTGTGAGGCGCACTCTGCTGCTGCTGCAGGGCCTGGGTGTGAGGCGCACTCTGCTGCTGCTGCAAGGCCTGGGTGTGAGGCGCACTCTGCTGCTGCTGCAGGGCCTGGGTGTGAGGCGCACTCTGCTGCGGCTGCTGCTGCAGGGCCTGGGTGTGAGGCGCACTCTGCTGCTGCTGCAGGGCCTGGGCCCGAGGCGCACACTGCTGCTGCTGCTGCTGGGCCCGAGGCGCACTCTGCTGCGGCTGCTGCTGGAGGGCCTGGGTGTGAGGCGCACTCTGCTGCGGCTGCTGCTGGGCCCGAGGCGCACTCTGCTGCGGCTGCTGCTGGAGGGCCTGGGTGTGAGGCGCACTCTGCTGCGGCTGCTGCTGGGCCCGAGGCGCACTCTGCTGCTGCTGCTGCTGGGCCCGAGGCGCACTCTGCTGCGGCTGCTGCTGGAGGGCCTGGGTGTGAGGCGCACTCTGCTGCGGCTGCTGCTGCTGGGCCTGGGTGTGAGGCGCACTCTGCTGCTGCTGCAAGGCCTGGGTGTGAGGCGCACTCTGCTGCTGCTGCAGGGCCTGGGCCCGAGGTGCACTCTGCTGCGGCTGCTGCTGCTGGAGGGCCTGGGTGTGAAGCGCACTCTGCTGCAGGGCCTGGGTGTGAGGTGCACTCTGCTGCCTCTGGAGGCCTGGGGGATGAGCCAACCTTTGCTGTGAAGGCTGAACCTGGGACAAACTCTGCTGACGCTGCATAGCTTGTGAATGAGCCATGCTCCTCTGCTGTAAAGCCTGTGGGTGAGGCATCGTTTGAGGCTGCTGTAAAGTCATTGGATGAGCCATGTTTTGCTGAAGCGCCTGCGGGTGAACCATGCCCTGCTTCTGGGCTGCAGGCTGAGACTGACCCTGTAGATGAGGAGCAGGCTGAGACTGACCCTGTAGGTGAGGAGCAGGCTGAGGCTGAGACTGACCCTGTAGGTGAGGAGCAGGCTGAGGCTGAGACTGACCCTGTAGGTGAGGAGCAGGCTGAGGCTGAGACTGACCCTGTAGGTGAGGAGCAGGCTGAGGAAGATTTAAAGTGCTTTGAGTGGCGTACGGCCCGCTGTGAGGGTCCATGACGACTTTGTGAAGCTGTCGGGCGCGGCTGCCGTCCGACTCTTTGATGACGCCTTTGGCGGGCGCACGCAGGACAGCCAGCAGACCCCGACTGGAGCTGACCTGAGAGGGGTAGGGACTGTGGCGCTGGCTGGACGACGTGTCGAGCCCGTTGACTGTACGGCGAATGTGCTTCCTTTGAGGTACTTTGACACTGTTGGGGAAGATCTGGATGGATAGTGGGTTGTTGGCAACTTTCTTAGCATAGGCATCCAACTCTGCTGGGGTTGGATAGCTGGCAGATCTCATCTTCTGTGTAGTTTCCCCTGCAATGCGTCAGTCAAAGGTCAGCCATACAGAAATACATAACAACATGTTGGCAGCTTGGAAATAGTATGTGACCATTTGTACTCTATGTTTGCGATGTAGTCATTAACTACATCTTAACTAGAACATGTCTTGGAACGTGCATCATCATTAAAGGCCTAACTTATTTTAGCATCAAATAAAAATAACTTTATTCAACTGAAGTTTTCCAACTCCTATTTTTGCAGACTGGATCCTGTACACCGTCCAGCTACAAACCAGTTTGTTCATCACATTTTATACTGTTTACACTGTGAGATTTCTATTATTAACACTGTATAAAAACCATTATACCCTCTTAAAGGTTTTAGGTATCTCTCATGATGACAGTAATGATGGCAGTAGCTCAGTCTAAGGACTTGGATTGGGAACCGAAAAGTCGCCAGGACAATTCCCAATCAGACCAAATACGGAGTGTGGACTGGTAGCTGAAGAGGTGCCAGACCAACTCCTGGGCACTGCCAAGGTGCCCTTGAGCAAGTGTATGTTTCTTATGAATTTTAGGCAATTGTGATTATTGATAACATAACACCGTGAAAAACTGACCCCTTGGGGATTAATAACAGTAATTGTAATCACACTTTCAAGTCATGTTACTTTAAGGCCATGATTGAATGATATTGCAAACGTTTAAATTGAAACATCTCACTTACATTTCTGAAGTCCAGTGTTCATCTGCGTGCGGGAGAGAATTCTGAGGGTAGGGTCACCTGATGCTGGCAGACAGGCCAGCATGTCACTCTTCCACTACTGCAGCGTGGGACACCTTCTCTCACCATACTGGGGAGGAACAGAGGGGAGAGTGAGCCGCTGACAGACACAGACACTGATGCTGGTGTGATACGTATGAAGGTAGATATGGTGCAAAATGCGAGAGCGTGTAAAACCTGATGTGAGCACTTGCAGAAAAGAAATCTGAGCTTGTGTGCATACATTTACACTTGTATAAAATATCCACGTATCTGTGAACCACATTTGAAGTCACAGAAGAAAAAAAAAAGTTTTGTAGCTTGTAGAAAAAAAATGAACTTAGTGATGAAATGTTCACTTGCAGAAAAATATATATTTTTTAAATATATTTTCCATTACAACTGCAACTTGGTTATTACAACCTCTCAAATCAGTCATTACAACTTCACGAATCTGCTCTGTGGCAGTATAAATCGACTAATCTGCAGCCTTGACTTTTGCTACATTGCGATGAATGTGTCGCAAAAGTAATTTTCACCTGTAGATGTGGGGGAGGGAGGGGGGTTGGAGCAAAGGGGCGGAGCTATCACAACGACGAGGCTCGGGTCAGTCACACAGTCACAGCCAGTCAGGTCGAAGTCGAACCATAGACTGTATATATAAAGGGTCGAACCAGATGACTGCGGGGCTAACGGTCCGTGTCGCTACCAGTCCGCTGAGATGGCGTGTCAATCAACGATAAGTTTTGCCCATTACTTCCCCAGTATTACTTTGAATATTATTATTGTGATTGAGGATGAAATCCGCTATGAAGACCACCGTTTTATATCGTGCAGTTTAGCGGCAAAATAACGTCAGTTAGCCAGCTAACGCTAGCTTTGTTGAATTTATGCTAGCTAAACAAGTAGTGGTTGTAGTCTATACAGCAGTAATTAATATATTATAGCCTACTGCTTTGGCACTAACAGTGCAATAACTGAAATAATTCCTGCTGTGTTTTTAAAGCCTTTGTAAATTATCCATGCTATTTTCTATTTAGAACGAAGACTTCAGAATCTTAAAATCCCTTGACGTTTGTATGCAATTGTGCTAAATTCAACACTGGAATCAAGCAAATATGAATGTTTGCATGACATTAGTTATTTATATTTTGCCATCACTTAATTATACGTTTAATACATTTAAGTCAAACTAAGGTACATGTGATGGTAGCTAGTTAGTACTCTTACCTGTGATGCCTCCTCCAAACAGCATAATAACCAGACTGTACCATTAAAACTAGAAGTACCAGTTCTAGATCCTTGACTTTAGACAAACAATTCAAAAGACAAAATGTATTTAAAGACCAATCTTTATTTGAAGGTGCCTCTTAACCTGGGATATTAGTTATACAGTAATAGTATTGACAATCTAAAAAAACTGAGCAACTCAACGGTTCACTTTTATATTTCTTATTGTCTAAAGCATTTATTATTTTCATTTTTCCCCTCTCATATTCAGTGTGGACAGATTGAGACAGCGTGGTGTCCAGAGAGCTGCAGAGACTTCAGGGAGAAACCTCCGTGTGATGGACGTCCTGTCTGTTGGTTTGGCCGGAGAGGACTGAGGATCTTTCCTCAGCGAGGAGGACCAGACCTGATGGAGGAGCCCATGCATAGCTAATACCAACTGCACAGGCCTAGTCTGTCACTTTATTTGACTAAATGTGTTTACTTATACATTTAATAGGTTTACACCTTCTGTCCATATGTGCTTTTTATTTAAAACATGTTTGATTCACTTTTGGTTCACATTTCAATAAATTGAATTTGTATTTGCACTCCTTTTGTCCATTATTCTTACTGAAAATGTTAGATTACACATTCACATCTGACTGAAGATTGGCCCCATTTATTTGTGACGTTGCAAACTCTGCGGTACAAGGTACATGTTGTGAAGCTCATAAAGTGAGGCAAATAGAAATAATCAGCTGATGGAGTGTAGATGTGGAAATAGGTGCATTCGATCAGCTGACTATGTGTTCACAATAAAAGTAGTTTCTTAGTGAATGTCCTGTACTGCTCTTAAAATCTCATAACATCAGCTTTTAATTTTTCTCTTGGATGTTCTTCTTGACCCTCAGAGAAGGAGAAAATGTTGAGTCGTGTCTTTCAGGCATGTCCTTTCCTAACAAAAATTACAGGAAACATAAAACATATTATTGCAGAACAAGTGTGTTATTTATGAAAGAGGTGTGTTTGTGTTTAGGGGCTGTAGATATAATTATTTTGTAATGGTAATGTGTTATTTTATTTCAACAGTGAGCTACAAAGACAATCAGATTATGAATGAACAGTATGAAATTCATCAACATTGACATTTTATTATCAAAATAATATTGAACTGTTATCAAAACTTAGTGCAACTGTAGAAGCTTGCTCTGTTGTCTCACTGAAAGAATAACTTTTACCACGTTTTTTACAGACAATATTGAGAGATAAATAGTAGTAGTTCTCACTATGTGTTAAATAGCTTTGCCTTCAATACATTAAATTAGAAAGCTGACAGTCATATTGCTTGTTAACATCTAAATGTAACCCTTTGCATGGAAAAAACCCTCAACTTCACTGATGTGTAGGTGATCTAGTATTTAGTATTGTTTAATGGAATGTATATCAGTGTATTAAAGTCAATACTTCATTTATTTAAACCAATATCTTTCTTGATTCTTTGTACAGTATGAAAAAGAGTCTTTGTACCTGTGCTGAAGTTCACTGCTGTGAGGAGTCCAGTTCTGTCTCTCACTCTCTGGTCCAGCCTGTCTGCATCACCTGGACACTTTAAACAAACAGATATATATGTAAAGAACCATGTCTACAAACAATATAACTTATTCTCTTCTGTTGAACATGTTGGATTGTGTATTGTCCGAGTCAGGGTCCTTTTTATTTTACTGTAACTTTGGAAGTTGTGTTACCAATGCTTACTGTTTATTTGATACCAATTTGGTAATGCAATTAATAAAAACAACAAGATTTGGGTTCGTTCTTCAGATGACTGACGTTAACGTGTAAGCTCAATAATGAACTCCAGCTCAACCATCCATATTGTAATATCTAAGTAATCATCTTGAAATATGACATTAATAATTGTAATATACACACATCTTATTGTGAGGTTGATTTCACATACACTACTTCGACGTTAGCTTGTCTACATACTTCAGCATAGCGGATTTAAATTAACCTTAGCGATGCATACAGTTACTACCTACATAATAAAATATCTCTCTAAGTTACAAGGATGACCTTATTTTACCAACCTCAAACAGAAGCCGTTTGTTCTACAGTATTATCCACTTAACGCTTAACACTTGTCTATTTCGTTTTAACCTTTATACAGTCTATGGTTTTAACTTGCAGGCTACGATTAGCATCGTTAGCACAGATGTAGCTACCACTCGCTTACACGCTAACCCAAGCCTTAACATTCATTACGTAGCTGATTAAAATCATAAACACATAAATAAGTACTCGAATTTCACTTACCGCAAAACCGCATTCATGCACCGTCTGTTTTAACCGCAGGGCGAGTCACAATAGTCCGATATAAGCATGAAGACACGGACCGTTAGCCCCGCAGTCATCCGGTTCGACCTGACTATGGCTGTGACTGTGTGACTGACCCGAGCCTCGTCGTTCTGATAGCTCCGCCCCTTCGCTCCAACCCCCCTCCCTCCCCCCACATCTACAGGTGAAAATTACTTTTGCGACACATTCATCGCAAGAAGTGTAGCAAAAGTCAAGGCCGCAGATTCGTCGATTTATACTGCCACAGAGCAGATTCGTGAAGTTGTAATGACTGATTTGAGAGGTTGTAATAACCAAGTTGCAGTTGTAATGGAAAATATATTTAAAAAATATATATTTTTCTGCAAGTGAACATTTTATCACTAAGTTCATTTTTTTTCTACAAGCTACAAAACTTTTTTGTTTCTTCTGTGACTTCAAATGTGGTTCACAGATACGTGGATATTTTATACAAGTGTAAATGTATGCACACAAGCTCAGATTTCTTTTCTGCAAGTGCTCACATCAGGTTTTACACACTCTCGCATTTTGCACCATATCTACCTTCATAGATACGCCATTGCTATCGCCTATTTTCACATCCAGTACAGTTTGACCTTTTGCAAGGCAGCTTGCAATAAACTGACATCATGTTCTTCCATTGAACACAACAGCACATTGGAGTAGCATGATGGCAGACAACCAGCTTTGTGTATTACTTTAAAAAAACGCTTGAGTTGCAACGATTAGTTGATCATGAGTGATTACTTAAAAAAAACAGACATGATCAGCCTTACCACTCACATGTGGAGATTTCTTGCTTTTCCTTATTTTATTCCATATTAAACTCAATATATTTGAGTTTTGGAATGATATACAAGTCATTGCCTTAGACTTGGAGAAACTGGGGTATTTTCCCATTTATAGACTAAACTATTAATCAAGTCATTAACGATCTGCAGATTAATCAATAATAAAAAATCATCTTTAGTTGCAGCTTCAGCACACACATTTAGTTTGCTGGAAATGTTTTTAGGCTATTTTGTAAAAAGCTTGAACTGGATCAAAACTGAAACATGGATCCTGAATTGAAAAACATTTAAGTGTAGCAAAGTGGAGTACGTACACAAACACGTCCAGACGCCACTATAGCATAGTCTTCACACATTGGAAAACGTTAGTAATCACTATAACAAGTACACTTCAGGTATTCAACAGTGGTACTGAACTGTGGATGGATACACGCATGATCTGCTCATGAATGATGACTCAGCAATATAATGAAGGAGTTAGCCATTTATGTGAGTTTAAGTAGGCTAACAGGGGCATGCACCTTTTTTTTTAATGCAAAGATATTGCGAAGGAATGATTCACATGTTTTAACTAAGCACCAAAAACGACGTCTTCATACTGTTTGTTTTGTAGGACCAACAGTCCCAGAGCCAAACAAAAGTAATATCTATTACTACATAACACCATAACATTAAAGAAGCTGGAACAAGGGAATGTTATGGTATGTAATACAATGGTATTTTTGTTTCAAATGTATGATAGATGGATGATCTTTTCTATAATGTAACTGATGAATTGTTGAAGCTCTAGTGGCGTGTTGCTGTAGTCACCAGCTGAGACACGTTAGCATCAGATCTATGACACACAAAGAGGCCGTGTTAACAATGGGACGTCTATTAGCTAATACCCAGTGGCAGTCATCAATCATTTGCTGTAAGGGAACTGATTCTGACCTTAGTGATGGATTGGGTAATGGCCCTGTTGTGAAATCATTTTATACAACAGCAGAGCAGTCCGTCAATCAAGAAAATAGCCATCAGATTGTTGAAAACTTAAATAATTGTTAGTTGCAGTCTAACAGCAGACTTTATTTCCCCTTCCTGCCACTTGAAAAAGAGGAAGAGCTTTCTTCTGATTGGTTACACATCATTTTGCAGATTCATCACAGATTTACAGACAGTTTATGATTCACCATTAGTTCACTTCCACTGTTCAGAGACTTGAGTGATTTGTCACAGTGGTACAAACTTAAAGATCTCTAAAGGTTATTAGAATAAGTGTATCTGGGGAGATGGATTGCCGTCTTGGATATTTGTGGTGTCTGTCTGTCTGTCTGTCTGTCTGTCTGTCTGTGTGTGTGTGTGTGCACATATATTCAGTGAGACCCTTGGCTCTTCGATGTGATCTAAATGCATCTGGCTGAAGGCCAGTGTTTCCATGCTGACATGGGTCTACCTTCTCACCATCATCTCAGATATTAGAGACAAGTCAAATGAGCAATAATGCAGGGTACAAATACTTTGTTGCAAGTAAAAGTAATGATAAATCTTACTGTCGTAAAAGTATCAGAAGTAAAAACAGATGTACAATATTTCCAAAACTAAAATGATGTATAACGGTGCGTCTACACAGCAGCGTTAAAAAAATCTTGAAACGCTTCTGCCCATTCACTTTGAATGGGGTGACGTCACTTTCCCTCACTTTTCGCCGAAATGGATTGTGGGCAGGCGAGCGGAGATTTTCAGGATTTTGAGGATTCAAAGTTGAACAATGTTCAACTTTTGAGGCTGAGGTGGAAGCGTCAGCCAATCAAATCCCGTGTACGCAAATCTGACAGTTCAAGCTCTAGCCAATCAAACGGCGTGTATGCTGGGAGAGACATACCGCAGGTCATTTCCTCAAATTCCAAAAAATGGAGGAGAAATTAGCGGTAGCGAATCAATCACCCGGTGCTTTATGACCAGACCTACCGGGATATAAACCGGAGGAGCCAGGCATGGAGGGAGGTGGCAGAGACAGTGGTAGGTTTTCGCCTGTTTTGGGGAGTTTATATCCAGTTTACTTCGGGCTTTTTTGCTTCGTATGTCGCGGGCGGGAGATTCATGTGATTGGTTGCTCGCAAAAAATCCTCAAGCTTCAGATACGCCCACCTCCAAGATTCTTTTAACGCTGCTGTGTAGACGTACCGTTATGCAGATTGGATTTAGACTATACGTTACTGGATTATAATTATTTGATGATTGTTTTCATAACTTGAAAGCAGTTGCAGCTGGTTAAGGGTGAAACTAATTTAAAAAATAATATATGATAATGTACTTGTTTTGTACTTATGTTAATTTGCTAAATAGGTTAGGCTGTTGTATAAAATACTTTAATCTCAAATAGAGTGTTGAGTAGGAGTATACAGTAGGATGAAATGGAAATACTTTGGTCCATGTATCTAGAAGACCTACAGTATTTTCTAAATGTCCTCAGCTACATTCCGTCACTCCTTTAAACTGTGTGAGCCTCAGGAGGAAGGGAGAGAATCTGCATTAAAGACTACATAATGTGACCTTTTCCACAGACTCGGGTCAGCGGGTGGATCTATGGCATCGTCCGGGGCTAACGCCTACATTGACCGGCGTATCAATCGTTATGGATCAGAGTTATAACAGAGTAATACATGAGGCAGGTTAACTTTCAGACAGCCGGTTTGTAGCTAGGTAACGTTAGCCATCTGTCTAGCCATCCAGCCTCAATCTGTTGTAATTTAAAACGTTAGCTAACATTAGTGCCGACCTAATAAATGTACATGGAATATTTCAGCAAGCAAACTGGCCGAACTGAAAGTATACCGTCTCCTCAAAAGATGAGAATAACGTCGTGGAACAGGTTAAGGTTACCTCGAGTCAGTAAATAAGGAGCTTCTTTGTGCTTGTTGTGAGCAGGCCAGCTGCATAGCAAACTTTAGCTTCTCATTGACGGAAAACCCCGAGGCGAGCCCGATTAAAGAACGGTATACTTACTCCTCGTGAATCTATGAGTAAGGAAACTTCATTTTGTGGAGATGCAACGTTGATGTTTTGTAAAAAAAAATGAAGAGACCATCCCCGGTGTTGGCTCTCCGTGCTGCTGCTGTCTGGCTACCGCAGCAACAATTGTTGCGAATGCGCAGAGCGAGCCTGAGGACCCCCGGATCTGCATTTAGGCATCAGTGGTAAACTCCTGCCCGATAATGCCATCGACTGAAGCTCAGAGGTAGTAATCAGATCTAGTAGCAGAACCACTGTGAAAAATACTGTTACAAGAAATACAAGGTCTTGAATTCAAAGAACTAACTTCGCTCGGTATGCAGAATGGCCCATCCCATAATAATCTACTTTATATCACTGGATTGTAATTGTGTGTTCGGCACTTTAATGTTGCAGCTGATAGAGTTGAAGATATAATATAATTACTTGACATACTGCTGTAACTTTATGTTTATTAATACAAGTACAGTCTTTGAGTGAATGTCCTAAAGTTCTGGGGGGGCGTGTGGCGCAGTGGATAGAGCCTTGGTATGGGGATCAGATGGTTCAGACAGGTTCAAACCCCACTGCAGTCAGCATGTCGTTGTGTCCCTGGGCAAGACACTTCACCCGAAATTGCTCCTGTGGGGATTGCCCACAGTATTGAGTATGTAAGTCGCTTTGGTTAAAAGCGTCTAACAAGTAACATGTAATGTAATGTACTTTCCACCACCAATGGGAATAGGCAATGATGCAAGAAGTGTTCAGAGCATCAGCACAATACTAAAATGCAGTCAGGGGAGGCAGAGCCTCACCTGTCATACTCCAATGTAACGGAAAAACAACTAAAGAAAAACTAAATAGTAATAATAATAAAATGTCTCCACTGATCTGTGTTGTAAGTGTGATTTATGTATGATTCCAATCGCTTTTTACAGTCAAAATCAGCAAATTTGCCGAACTCCGCTACGGGAGCGATGAGAAGTGAGGCAGGGACGAGCTCTGCCTCTCGTAGCCCACAGTAACGGCCCCTACACACGGCGGCGTGCGTTGACGCTTCAACGCTTCTGCCCATTCACTTTGAATGGGGTGACGTCACGATTCGCATTGTGGGAGCAAAGCGTAGCTTTTCTCGCGGTGCTCGCTGCAAAAGTAGAGCAATGTTCTACTTATGAAGCTGAGGCGGAGGCGTCAGCCAATCAAATCCCGCGTATGCAAATCTGCCAGTACAAGCGCGAGCCAATCAAACCGCGTGTATGCTGGGAGAGCCAGACCGCAGTTCATTTCCTCATATGCCAAAAAATGGAGGAGAAAATAGATAGATAGATAGATAGATCGATAGATCGTACTTTATTGATCCCAAATTGGGAAATTGTTTTTGTTACAGCAGCATAAAAGGCATTTTACAATAAAACAAAATATACAAGAATAGAAATAAAATAAAATAAAATATAAAATAAAATATAAAATATACATGTCAAAATACAAAATAGAAAATATACATACAGATATTATATATATATATATATATATATATACAAATATACAAATATATATATATTCAAAATATATGGAATTATGGAGTATTAAATATGAAACAGATTATGTGTGAGTAAAATGTACAAGGTGGTTTTATTTCTAGAGAAACTATGGAGCAGAGAGTTCTCTTCCAGCCAGAGGTGATTTGTTGTACAGTGTTATTGCAGTGGGCAGGAATGTTTTCCAGTATCTGTCCTTGTGACAGGGGAGCTGCAGCAGTCTGTTGGAGAAGGAGCTCCGTTGACTGTCCAGCTGCAGGTGGAGAGGATGGGTGGGGTTATCCATGATGGACAACAGCCTGTTCAGTGTCCTCCTCTCCACCACAGCTTCAAAGGGTTCCAGCTTGATGCCGATGACTGACCCAGCTTTCCTGATCAGTTTATTGATCCTGCAGGTGTCACCGGCTCTGATGCTGCCCCCCCAGCAGACCGCAGCAAAGAAGAGTGCACTAGCCACAACAGACTGATAGAAGATCTCCAGCATCTTACTGCATACGTTGAAGGATCTCAGCTTCCTCAGAAAATAGAGTCTGCTCATCCCCTTCTTGTACACAGCGTCAGTGTTGATCCTCCAGTTCAGCCCATTGTCTAAGTGCACTCCCAGGTACTTGTAGACCTCCACAACTGCCACATCCTCTCCCAGAATGCACAGGGGCAGAGGAGGAGATGTCCTCTTCCTCCTGAAATCAATGACCATCTCTCTGGTCTTGGCCACATTCAAAAGCAGATGATTTCTTCCAGTCCACTCAACAAAATCACCCACCAGCGCTCTGTACTCCTCCTCCCGTCCATCCCTTATACACCCTACCACTGCAGAGTCATCCGAAAACTTCTGCAGGTGGCATGACTCTGAGTTGTATAGAAAGTCAGAGGTGTATAAGGTGAACAGGAAAGGAGACAGCACAGTCCCCTGTGGGGCTCCAATACTACCAACCACCACATCAGACAGCACACTGCCCAGCCGGACGTACTGTGGTCTGTCCGTGAGGTAGTTGGTAATCCAGGAGATGGTGGACGAGTTTACCCTCATAGCCTGCAGCTTGTCACTCAGTAGCCGAGGCTGGATCGTGTTGAATGCACTGGAGAAATCAAAAAAGGTGATTCTCACAGTGCAACCCGATCCATTCAGGTATGAGTGAGCACGCTGCAGCAGGTAAATAATGGCATCGTCCACCCCCAGGTGAGGCTGGTAGGCAAATTGCAGAGGGTCAAGGAATGATCTCACCTGCGGTCTGAGATGGGCCAAGACCAGTCTCTCAAGCACCTTCATCACATGAGATGTGAGTGCTACAGGGCGATAGTCATTGAGCCCAGAAGGAGTTGTCTTAATCGTAGCGGTAGGGAATCACCCGGTGCTTTCAGTCCCTGTTCACCTACCGGGATACAAACCGGAGGAGCCAGGCATGGAGGGAGGTGGCAGAGACAGTGGGTGAAACTGGTAGGTTTTCGCCTGTTTGGGGAGTTGTGTTTATATCCAGTGTACTTCGTTTGAATGGACAGCTAGCAGGCATCGACAGTATTTAGCCAGCATGGAATGTTGTATAAAATAGCACCATAGACATTAATTAAAAATCGCTTTTTAGACATGAATGTCTATGGTGAGATTCATCCACAGGAGCCTTTTTAAAGCCTTTTTACCCGGGGGAGACACGGGAGATTCATGTGATTGGTTGTTGGTCTGCGTCACGCAGCCTACACGCGGCGTGCGTTGCCGCTTGGCGGTGGGCGTGTCTTGAGCTTGGGGAGTTTACGCGAGCAACGCGACCAACAACCAATCACATGAATATCCCGCCCTGGACATACAAAGCAAAAAAGCCCGGTTCTTCTATCCACTCTAGCCAAAATGGATGCCGGTTTGGTAGCAAGGGTGGCATTGGTATATGCATTGTATCTCGGGAGGCGACGTCGTGTGCGTCGCTGTTGGGTACATCCAATACTCCGAAAACGTCTGCAACGGGGAGAATACCACGTTCTGGTCCAAGAGCTCCGTCTGGATGACGAACTGTTTCTGCAGTACTTCAGAATGAGTAAAGGCCATTTCGACGAGTTGCTCGGCAAAGTGGGTCCACTGATAACAAAGGCGGACACCAACATGCGTTTGTCAATCGGACCCGCCGAGCGACTCGCCATCTGCCTACGGTATGTTTTGTGTATTTCTACTTCTTTAATCTGACTCTGTATAGAAAGAGAGAGAATGCATGCCATGGATGAATGATGAATGAAGTCTGTGATTTAGTTCAGATGGATGACATTAATTAAGATAGCTAGGTTAACACAGTATTGCTCCCCTGTGTGTGTGTGTGTGTGTGTGTGTGTGTGTGTGTGTGTGTGTGTGTGTGTGTGTGCGTGTGTGTGGGGTCTGTGTGTGTGTGTGGGGTCTGTGTGCGTGTATGGTCTGTGTGTGTGTGTGTGCGCGTGTGTGTGGGGTCTGTGTGCGTGTCTGTGGTCTGTGTGCGTGTGTGGGGTCTGTGTGCGTGTCTGTGGTCTGTGTGCGTGTCTGTGGTCTGTGTGTGTGTGTGGGGTCTGTGTGTGTGTGTGGGGTCTGTGTGTGTGTGGGGGGTCTGTGTGTGTGGGGTCTGTGTGCGTGTCTGTGGTCTGTGTGCGTGTGTGGGGTCTGTGTGCGTGTCTGTGGTCTGTGTGCGTGTCTGTGGTCTGTGTGTGTGTGTGGGGTCTGTGTGTGTGTGTGGGGTCTGTGTGTGTGTGTGTGTGGGGTCTGAAATTGTTTTATTTTTTAAATCATGTATATTACTTTTTTCTCAGGTACCTGGCAACCGGTGACTCATACAGGACCATAGCATTCAGCTATAGGGTTGGTCATATAACAGTGGCAGTCATCGTCAGGGAGGTTGCGGGTGCCATCTGGAGATGGAGGACTGGAGAGCCATCGCTGCTGAGTTTCAGGAGATCTGGAACATTCCAAATTGTGTTGGTGCCATTGATGGGAAGCACGTGGTGATCCAGGCTCCAGCTAATTCTGGGTCCCTCTACTTCAATTACAAGTCCACCCACTCCTTGGTACTGCTGGCTGTCGTGGATGCCCAGTACCTCTTCAGGGTAGTGGATGTCGGAGGCTTTGGAAGGAGCAGCGACAGTGGGAGCCTGCGGAATTCCGCTTTTGGAGAGAGCCTCCGAGATGGCAGTCTGCAGCTACCACCTGACACCGTCATCCCAGGAGCAGAGCGGCTGGGCCTTCTTCCCCATGTGTTTGTTGGAGATGAAGCTTTTCCGCTGCTGGACAACCTGCTGCGTCCATTCCCTGGACGCCAGATCACACGCGAGAAGAGGATGTACAACTACCGCCTCAGCCGGGCCAGGTTGGTGGTTGAATGTGCGTTTGGCATCCTCTCATCCCAGTGGAGAATGTTCAGGCGTGTCATCACCACCAGCCCGGAGGTAACAGAGCTGTGTGTGAAGGCCGCCTGTGTGTTGCACAACTTCCTCCGCAGGAAGACGATAGGAAGGCCATCATGCACACCTCTTGCAGAGTCCACGGATGAAGCTCCAGATACTCCAACCCTGTGTGATGCACCGAGGATGGGCTCCAACAATGCCACACGCAGATCGCTCCAACTGCGGGAGACCTTCAGCTCCTATTTTAATGAGGAGGGTGCAGTGCCATGGCAGCAGTATGTGGTGTAGGGTCACCATGGCTCTTTTAAGAGCCTCCAAACCAAAAGCTCTTTTAAGAGCTACCCATATTTTCTTTAAAAAGCAAATATTCCAAATGAGCCATTTAAAAATAAAACATTCCTAATAAAAATGTTTCTTGAATTGATATTATGATATTGCTAACAACCTTTTTCCTTCAGCCCTGTTTTTACTGATAAACCACTCATAATTTCAATAGGTTTTCAAATGGACAATTGTACAGAAGACAGCACATTATATATCAACATACATGAAGCTTCTGCTATGTTGCAACTGACAAACCACATGAACAAGTGAAGACACAGTATAGCCATAACATACTTTTTAAATAACTTTTATTTATGTAAGTGTGTGATGAGTGGATAAGTGTAAAACATGTAGTGTGGTGTAGTATGTGTGTGAATTACAAAAAAAAAAATCAGTTCTCTTCCATCTCCTGCTCTGCCTCAAAAATGGATTTGTATATTTCAAATCGCACTCTTGTCCTCTTTGCAATTGACAGCCTTCGCATGGCAGGCAAGAGGCTCCTGAAAAATAACTCATCCTCATCCTCCACCAACACCACTACTGGTGGGGGTGGTGGAGGATGAGGTTGAGGTGGTGGCATGAACAGAGGACTGATGGCTGACATCAAGCCTTTTTCAAAGGAGGACATCTCCCTTCCCCTTCTCCTTTTTCCCCGGTCCCGGTCCTCAACAATCGCTGGCTGACTGTTGGCTGGCTTTCTAGCTGGCTCTCTGCCTCTGGCACCAGGTTGGATGGAGGCAGGGTTTGCCGGGGGACATTGCTGGACGTCTCACGGTCAATGATAAATGGGGTTAAAAACCCCATCACTGCCGTGAAACGCCAGGGCTTATATCCCCCGGACGACCCTGCCCCGCTTCTCTTTGCCTCTTTCTCCCTTGTTTTCTCCTTTCTGAATCTGTCCCTCAGTGACTTCCATTTTGTCCTGCATTACTTCCTCTAATGAAATGAAATGAAATAATAAAGTTAATTTCTGGAATTACTTGAAGAATTTACTAAAGTGTTCCTCCATTAATGAAAACCAAATCCCTTTATCACTGTCAATTGCATAAAAGGTTTTACATGTCACACTTTATATGATGAACATGTATGACATTAATGTCTATGGTGCTATTTTATGCAACATTCATGCTACATCCATGCTGGCTAAATATACTGTCTATGCTTGCTAGCTGTCCATTCAAACGAAGTACACTGGATATAAACTCCCCAAACAGGCGAAAACCTACCAGTTTCACCCACTGTTTCTGCCACCTCCCTCCATGCCTGGCTCCTCCGGTTTGTATCCCTGTATGTGAAGAGGGACTGGTCATATAGTACCGGGTGATTCCCTACCGCCACTATAATTTTCTCCTCCATTTTTGGAAATATGGGAAATGAACTGCGGTCTGGCTCTCCCAACATACACGCGGTTTGATTGGCTAGCGCTTGAACTGTCAGATTTGCATACGCGGGATTTGATTGGCTGACGCCTCCGCCTCAGCTTCAAAAGTAGAACATTGCTCTACTTTTGCAGCGAGCACCACGAGAAAAGCTACGCTTTGCTCCCACAATGCAGTTCGGCGAATCGTGACGTCACCCCATTCAAAGTGAATGGGCAGAAGCGTTGAAGCGCCACCGCACGCCGCCATGTGTAGGGGCCGTAACTTGCTGGAGCACGGGCACTAATTTAGCGCGGGCACTTATTTTGTGAGCGCGCTCAAGCCAGTTACTGTGGGGTGAGGTGAGGCACAGATGAGCTCTGCCTCACCTCAGAATGTGTCACCCCACAGAAACTGGCTGGAAAGCGGGCACTAAGCGCATGCCTGTTACCATCTCACTGTAGGTCACCAATGTAATGTTTGTAGATCCCTTTATTACATTTCATCCTCGCCATCCATAGTCTCTAAATAACTTATTTCACGTATATATGATATTTAGGCTCGCTGGTCTCATCGTACAACGGCAATGAAAAAAGCACCAGGAGAGGCAGCCATAACCTCTGCCGCACTGAAGGGGGCGCACGTGAGCCCACAGGTTCTTGTTGCTACTGTAATTCTACGCAGAGACGGTAGACGCAAACAACAAACTAGACTTTTGAAACTACAGGAAGATAAGGAGGACTTTTACAAAAAAGTAATAGAGATTGTTGTCCAGAAGGATAGCATGGACTTCATCTTCAAGTCAAGGTAAGACCACATTTGTAATGAAAATGGGATCTTACTAAGAAAGAACAATCCAATATTTAGATTTTGGGTATCCTTTTGTTGAACGGTCTGTTTAAAATGAATCGAAGCATCAGACTAAAAAAGCTTTTGAAAATAACCGAATATTTCGATTAAGGTCAAAATATAATATTTGTAAATCTGACTCAGTGAGTCAGTGCCTCACCAGCCATGAGCCTCACCGCACGTCACTGTAAGTAGCATAACCCCTTTTGGTAATGCATCATATTAAAGTATATTTAGTCAATTCCTTGATTTAGTTTGATTTCAGAAAAAGAAGGAAACGATATAAGGGAGGTCCCTAAACACAAAAGCAGTTTTTATAAAAATGAAGGAAACCTATTTACATAAGGCGCGTTCACACCAAGTTCTTTTCCCACAATAGTTCATGAGAACTCAGTTCATGAGAACTCTTTTAGTTCTGATGAACTAAAGCAGATCTCGTTCACACCGCAATGAGTTCCTGGGGGTGGATTAGGCAAATGAAGCCGCTGACGTCACTTCTTCTTCTTCTGCTTTGGGTCCCCGGCCGGAAGTCCCCGGAGTTGGGGACTGGCTTCAGTAGAAGCTGCTGGGACTCCCAGCAGCTTCTACTGAAGCCTTCCGAGTAAATCGCCAGAACGCCGACACCTCCTCATCTCCACCGCTCCTATGTTTTCTTTTGTGTTGCCATAAGTTAGTCTCTCTGCGTTTGTGCGCTGGGCTAATGCTAATAATGCTAATGCGAGGATAATAAAATGGCGGCTTCACAAAACTTTTTTGGAGTTTTACGGGGCGTGGTTTGCATTCCGCCCAGCCAATCAGACATAGGAACATTTTTCTCCCACGAAAGTCCCTGCAGGGACTGAAAAGGGGGGGAAAATGGTTCTGATGAACTAATTTAGTTCAGGGGGCTTTTTGGTGTGAACGCAAATATATCTGAGTTCTGATTAACTATTGTGGGAAAAGTACTCCGGTAGGAACGTGCCAATTGTGTATTTTAACCCCACAAATAATACATTGAAATGAACAATATGATGGCTTTCCATAATATATGATACATTATATAATAGACTGAATAATTGCGATAAACCATTTAAAAACAGATCAAACAAAGCAATACAAACTGTAATAAAGTATGGAAATAAATATGAACTGAGATCTGTTTTATTTTCTACCAAACCACTTTTAACTATATTTATAAATGTATATGTCTCTCATCACCCAACATCGAACTAAGATTAAGAAACTGATTCAAGAGTCAGTAAAAAAAGTACAAGTGAATTTAACTCAAAAGTAAATGGCAAAAAAGAATGAAAGTATGGTACGTATATTTATTAGAATGACAGCAGCTAAGAGTGAACGTATTATTCTGAGTACAGATGGATGGCATGCAGCAAGAGCATACAGGAACTCATGGCTGTTCCAGACACAGTGCACATGTGTAAATAACATTTGAAGCTAAACAAAGTTATTACTGTCACAGTATTTGTCAAGTCACTATATCAGCAAATGATACACAAATACATTAACGGAATATGAGCACAAAAACAATATTAACAACAATCATACTAAATATAATAACAGTCCTGTGTGATGTCAGTGTGCTCATACAGGCTGCTTCTTCAGCCACACGTACAACTGTGCTTTTCACCTGCTTCAGGTATGAGCTTCAAACTAACAGGAGCATTCAGGTTTGTGTAGGTGTCCCAGTCATATACAGTATTTCAAAAGCTTTTCCACTTCACTTCTTTTTTCCTTCTTCACTAAAGCTTAGCATTTGATGCATTAGACCGCAAAACAACTAAGTATTGTGACCATTTACAAAAATAAACATTGCTGCTAGACATTGATAAAACATTGTATGATATGTTTAACTACTCTTCTAAAGATCCTTCTATATTGGATGTCACAGTTATAAAAAACAAATCAATGTAGACATGTGCGTACACAGAACAGAACGTGTTTCTCTGAAAAGTGTCAAAGTTTGGTTTGTTGAACATGGCTTAGCATCTAAAGATACTTTTAGAATTAAATGAAACATCAGATATACTATACAATATCCTGCTGATACAACAACATTGAAAATAATCTATTCTATTTGTCATTGCCGTCTGGCCTCTCAGAATCTATTCACATTGAGCTTTCTCCACACAATATCAACATATTTCACAACCTGCTAACTCAATATGTTTCTCTTCTTTTTCATCTTAAACACCAACTGTTTGTTTTCTTAATAATGGCTGAAACTAGTAACACTTGACATTAAAACCAACACTCAATATTAAAATAACACGTTACAAGCTAACCATGTCAGCACAAGATCAGATTTTGATTCCGTTTTCCTAAATATAAAATGATGATCTAAACTTCTGTATTGTGCCTGATATGAACAGTTTGTGGTGATCTTAACTCCATTCAGGGGAACATACAACATGTGCACAATGGAAGGGGCTTCTTTAAGATCATGAGCACCTGTTACATTGTAAAGATCAATCAGTGACACATTCAAAAACAAATAAAGAAAGCTCTACCATTTACAAGAAGATATTCAGATGATCTAGGGAATGCAGAAGTGTCTCACGATAAAGACAAAGGTCTATATGAACATAGAGACCTGCAACATACACAATGTAGAAAGTGAGAGCAGAGGCCTTCTGTTCTGGTAGAGTATACCTGAAGTATAATAAAGATCAAGATGTGAACACCAGCCGTCACATGGTGATAGAAATCTAAGCACCATCACAGCAGTCTAATATCTCCTCTTTGACCCCACCTCATACAAACAGGCCAATATCTATTAGAAATAGAACAAATAAATAAAAAACACATCACAACATGTGCAAACTAAATAAATTAAAACATCTCTGAATGAGTAGCAGTGCATTCAGATATTCTGGCCTTGTATAAAGTAAGGCACCAGAGGTTTCCAAAATTCACTTGGTATATAGTATATACGTATAAAACAACTCAATTCTTCAAGTGTATTAAAGGCAGTCCATCAGAGTGCATACAACAGATACTGGAGTCGTGGAGGGGGGGCTCTCAGGCTAGAGCACCGGTCATCTTCTGCAGCAACGGGATCTGAGGAAAAAGGACAAACCTGCCATTAATCTCTGAAACACTCATTCTTCCAGAACTAAACTGGATTGCCTTCATGACCTACATTTTTTCCATTCACTGTTTTATTTGAAGGTTTTTCCTGAAGGTTCCACTGGCTGATTTGAACTCCTTTTCGGGCTCCGATTGGATACAAAAGCTGAGATCATGTGTGAATGGTTGAATGCTGACTTTGATATAAGTCATAAAGACTGGAAAAGCGCTTTTAAAATGTAGTCTACTTAACCTTTACAAGTTTCACTGTCAATGTAATAGTGTTCTGTGTTTTCTGACAGCAATATAGAAGTATCTTGTAATATAAGAATGTTTCCTAAACCTGTAGTTGGCTCGATGGTAATGACTGCAACCAGAGGCATTCCTTTTCTTTTCTTCCCCTTTTCTCTCCCTCATAATAAGGCAAAACTTCAAGTGGTATTTGACTGTCTTAGTGTCACATTACATGTACTACTCATTGAAGTCCAACTAAGCCTGTGCAAACTGTTGTTGTAAAAAAATAAAAACCCTGATGACGTCATCACAGTTATCTCTGATCAGGTCTTGGAGACAACACATTTTATTTTTTTTACAGATAATCTGCGTTATGAAGTTTTAAAAGATAAGGTCCTTTACAAGTCAGAACTGGTCTTCCCAGGATTATAAGCGTGCTACTCTGAATTTAAACAGATGTCTCTCAGTAATACCCCAACTTCATGAAGGTGCAATATCCAGTCACTGGAATACCTCGTTAACTAATGCTTGATTGGAAAATACAACAATCCACCAACAACAGGCTGTTTTTTTTTTAACATCTTTCAGTCATATCCAACAAAGCTACGTAAATATACTCTTTGTTCTAATCCTACACACACACAAAAGCATTTAATCGCATCTTGTTCAATATGCTGATCCCTCATGCATTTCATGTCTTAGTAACACTACACAGACATTGTAATTGTAACTGTTATGAAGTTATTATCGAGCTCACCTTTAACAGGTCCACTCCAGTGAGAGCATTGACAGACACAGGAAGTTCAGCCAGAAGGCGGGTGACCTCGCCCGTCACGCGGCTGCTCTCCCCACTCAGGATGACGATCTCATTGGTCCTGGCTAACGGCGCTGCCACCTTAGCAGCAATCTGCAAACATATGGTTATGGGTTTAATGTAAGTAGGTAACAATCAAAGTCTCCCACATGGAGTTCTCATGGATCATGTGATACATGTTGTAGTTATAGTCTCATGACTCAGGGGTCATGTGATCCCATTATAAACATGAGAGCTGTCATTTTTTTTTTATGTTTTGAATTGGGGTCTGGGTCTAGAATATATTAGTAGTTACTAGTGTAAAATACATTCTAGTTTCCTAAAACTTAAGCATTCTACTGCTTTCTCCGCGGATTAAACAAACAAAACATACAAAATATAACAAAGATTATAGATGCTGATAGGCAGATTCAAAGTCTTGTGGCAGTAGCTCTGTATTTTAGATCTGAAGCAATTGGAGAAGAACTATATCTATTCATGTACTCATTTCAGCAGAAACTCTTCCTGGTGTGGGAATCATGCATGTTATAAAAAGTAATAAGCATGCAATAAACCATTAAACTCAATAATCTCTTACCATAGGCAGGGCCTCGAGCACCAGCGCAGTCTTAGCTGCCTCTCCGTACAGCTGGTAGGCCTCGGCCTTCAGTCTCATCCTCTCCGCCTCCGCCTTGCCCACTGCCTCGATGGAGCACGCCTCTGCCTCACCGATCCTTCTGATCCTCTCTGCTTGAGCCTGTGCTAACAGCACCGCCTTTGTCCTGATGAAGGGGAAACACAAAGGTTAACATCACTGATTCCTCTTACTATCAAAAACACATCGCACTATAGCCTGCTTTCTAGGGATGCTCCGATCGATCGGCCACCTATCGATATCGGCCGATACTCACTCTCTACCGATCGATCGGTGCTCTCTAAAAATGCCGATCGCGAGAGCCGATCGCATGACATAAAATTATGACGTAAAATACATGACACTTTTCTCTGTGCGCGGCAAAACAAGCTCGCCAAAATGGCTTCACCAGTCTGGCAGTATTTTAAGGTGTCCGAAAATGACAATAAAATAGCGGTATGCAACGTGTGTGAAGTAGAAATCCTGCAGCTCCACCCGCTGTGACGGACCGGTGAGCGGAGCAACACACACACTAACGAACGGTACGTCCACACAGCACCGTTAAAAAAATCTTCCAACGCTTCTGCCCATTCACTTTGAATGGGGTGACGTCACTTTGCCTCACTTTTCGCCGACCGAACTGCATTGTGGGAAGCAAAGCGGAGATTTCCAGGCATCTCAGGCTTCAAAAGTTGAGCAATGTTCAACTTTTGAAGCTTCTGAAGCTTTCGGTGGAAGCGTCAGCCAATCAAATCATATGCCAGTACAAGCTCTAGCCAATCAAACCGCTGCTTGTGTGTCAGGGGCGGGAGATTCATGTGATTTGTTGTTGGTCGAGCTTCAGACACGCCCGCCGGCAAGCTTTTTCCAAAGCCGCTGTGTGGACGGGCCGTAAGAGTTAGACCTTACACACTTAGCTATTTGATCTACCTCTGGAACAAGCTAAACTAGTTATAAATATGTTTATTCTTCACTGTCGGGTCACTCATTACTGGATCAGTGAGTTGCATGAGATACTGACAGGCAGTCAGGAGAGAGGGAGAGAGGGAGAGAGGAAAAGAGAGCGCTTCCGCTCATTTCTCCCGTGTTATTATCCAAAGTTAATGTAAACTTGAATAATGTACTTCATTTGAATGTAACAATTATGTTGGTTGTTGTTTGTGGAAGCGTCAGTGAATGAGCCCCATTAACTGAGTTTTAAACATCACTTTAAATGGAAGTTCCCACACTCGATCGGATCGGCGATCGGTAGCGGCCGATACTGATTCCGTCGATCGGCCCCAAAATTGGCGATCAGAGCATCCCTACTGCTTTATTCTGACTTATGATCATATCATGTTTCCATATATTTGGGATCATTTGCCTGGCTAAAGTTCGACCCAAAGCACAACTAATTACTACAAGCAAAATGTATGCCGAGTGACTGTTACACTTTGAAAAGTGAAACAGTGAGTACTCGGCTGTTGGTTATATACATTCAAGCATGTGTGACAGCTAATCATCCAGCCCACTGGGAAGTCCTTAAGAAAAACCAAACCTCTTTACAGGGCCGGTGCTGAGCTACTCTCTGGGAAGGTTACATGCTGATGTTATTCCAAAGAAGACACCAAAGCTGGAATATTGCTACTGTAGTTGTTGCACGAGAAGAGGGAGGTTTTTTTTACACTGGTGTTAGTTCTCTCAGTCATCCTGCATTTTCTACAGATTGTTGATCCTGGTTATTACAGCTCATTTAATGCCCCTTTACGGAAAGGTTCCCACTCACTTGTGCCCTTCAGCAATCTGCTGCATTCTGTAGGCCTCGGCCTCAGCGGGCCTCTTCACTGTGGCGATGAGCTCCTTGTCTGTCCGCTCAATCTCCCTCTCCCCGATGGTGATCTGCTTCTTCCTCTGCACCACCTGGATCTCAATCTCCTCCAGGCGGATCTTCTGCTGCTCCTTAGCTGCCTGCAGCTCGTACGCCAGCTGGGCCTCTGCTTTCTGAAAACACCAGCAAATAGAACGTCACACACACACCTGAGGTAACACACATTATGTTTGAAACCTATTTTCAACAGTGCCCACCTTGGTGTTGACTTCCTGGTTGAAGGATGCTTTATTCAGCTCCAGTTCTCGTTTGGAGTCGGCCATCTTGGTGTCAGCCTGGAATTTGACGTCCATCATCTCCCTCTTACATTCTGCTTCCTATGTGACAATATATAAGTAAAGCAGTGGTCAGTTAATTGTTCTGTACGAAATAATCAATTTCTCTGAATCTCCCACCTGCTAATGCCTCCTTACCCGTATCCCAGCATCCCTCTCTGCTTCAGCCACGCCAATGTCTGCATCCCTCTGCACAGCTGCAGTCTGCGTCTTCCCCAGGGAGCTCAGGTAGTCCAGTTTATCGTACACATCCTACACACACACGCACACGCACACACACACACACACACACACACAAAAAACACGATGTATTTAAATATTTTGAAATGTCCATAAAAAGGCTGGACTGAAGAGAAGTGAAGAGGTATTTTAGAAGGTCTGAGGAGCCAGGTTTCTTTGTTTTGTAGTGAGCATTGTTAACACATAATCCTCCTTTCTGAACACTGACTGGTGTTCTCTACTAGGATAGAACCTCCATCTGTGCGCAGCAGCAGATTATTGATTTATACACCTGCTCTGAAGACTTGCCGACACGCCAGTGCCTCATTAATTAAAACAATGACTAAGTCAGCATACTATCACCTTAGGAACATATCTAATAGACTGGACTACTGTAATGGTGTCTTTACAGGTCTCACTAAAAGATCTATTAGAAAGCTGCAGCTGATTCAGAACGCTGCTGCTCGAGTCCTCACTAACACTAAGAAAGTGGATCACATCACTCCAGTTCTGAAGTCTTTACACTGGCTTCCTGTGTGTCAAAGAATTTATTTCATAATACTGCTGCTGGTTTATAAAGCATTGAATGGTTTAGGCCCAAAATACATTTCTGACCTACTGCTAAATTATGAACCATCCAGATCTCTCAGGTCTTCAGGGACTGGTCAGCTTTCTGTCCCCAGAGTCAGAACTAAACCTGGAGAAGTTCAGTTATTATGATCCAAATATCTAAACTCCCAGAAACCTGCAGGTCCGCTGCAACTATTTTTACTTTTAAATCCAGGCTGAAGACATATCAACCAATGTAATGTTTTTCATTTCTGTAAAGCACTTTGAATAGCCTTGTATTGAAAGGCGCTATATAAATAAACTGGCCTTGCCTGCCTTACATGTTTTGAATTGGGATGAAAAAAATGTATATGTTCAATTAAAGACAACCATCAAATGTTTAAGGCCTCACAAATGAGTTATCTGATCATGATCGCAGGAAACATCTCGGCCCGGACTAATGGATGTGAAAGAAATAAACTCTTAGGGTTTGAAGATAAGCACTTTGGTCAGCTGCTGTGTCTGCACCACACTGCAATTAGTTCTTACAACAACAGCTCACTGTACAGAAAGAGAGAGCATCCTGCCAGTAAATCATTAGAGATATGGAAAATAAGAGATGACTTCTCTAATGAGCAGCAGCCTCCACGGTAGATACATCCCATTTGAAAGATTAAAAACAAGAGGAGGTGAGTGTTGATTCACGTTTGTATGAATTTTACTTGCTGCTTAGCCCATAAACACACACTGTATATCCCATATGCTAGGCTCTAATGCAAGTTCATGTGTAATACAGTTCTAAGCTGAAAGTGAGTGAGCTTTAAACTTCTCATCAGTTCCAGTAAGACCATTTATCCCTCCAGAAGCAGTCAAAGATTCATTACAAATAATGTAATACGTGATTATTCAGTGGAGCAAATATCACCGTAAAGTATTATCATGTATTCATTAAACACTCAGAAAATCTACTATAAGAGCTGAAACAGTCAACAACAATTTTAAAAGACCTAAGGAAACTGAACATTTCATTGGTTACACAACATAACGATAGTTACGTACGTAACTACGGTTCTATGAATACTGGATGACCGCCAGAGGCGGTGCTTTCGCACAGGATATCTTCTGTCTCGCGCATGCGTAGGTAGAATATTTATATCAACAAAGTCATGTGTGACCTCGTATGACCCCGGAAGGCATAAGTTCCGGTGTTGTCAACGAGTTCAGTTCTATGGAATCTTCTCGCGGAAACACGAGATTCCGAGTGACCAAGAACTCTGGCGGTCATCCAGTATTCATAGAACCGTAGTTACATACGTAACTATCGTTCTATTTCATCCTTACTGACCGCCAGAGGCGGTGCTTTAGCACTGGATGACCTATACCAACAGAGTCACGAGGAAGTCTGAATACTCACCCTATAAGGATGGCCTAGGCGGACTCTGCAGGAGGACCACACCCAGCGGGTGAGGGGCGGCAACATTCACCCTGTAGTATCTGGCGAATGTGCTCGAGAATGCCCATGTGGCCGCAGCACATATGTCCTCCAGGGGCACACCTCTCAAGGTCGCCCATGACGTGGAGACACTCCTGGTAGAGTGGCACTTTACTCTGGGTGGCAAGGGACGGTCATTCGCTTTGTCTGCCTGGGCAATGACGTCCACGATCCAGTGGGACAAGCTCTGTTTTGAGAGCGCACAGCCCCTTCTAGGACCACCGTAACACAGAAAGAGCTGTTCAGACTGACGTATGCCTGCGGTAGTCTGGACATAAGCCCTAAGGGCCCGCACCGGGCATAGGAGTCTTGACCTCTCTTCCCCCTCTCCTGATGGGGGGTCAAACCGTGCCAGCTGGATAGGCCGATTAAAAATGAGAGCGTGCCAGTACCTTAGGGAGGAACGCTGTGTTCGGCCATAAGGTGACACCTGAGCCATCTGAGTTCCACCTCAGACACGAGCTGTTCACGGACAAGGCCTGAAGCTCGCTTACACGCTTTGCTGAGGTGATGGCAAGAAGGAAAGCAGTCTTAGCTGAGAGCCACTTCAGTTCTGCCTGTAACAAAGGTTCAACAGGAGGCGAGCATAGGGCATCCAGCACCAAGGGCAGGTCCCATGTAGGGGCCCTTGGGATATTCGGGGGGCGAAGCCTCAGAGCTCCTCCTTAAAAAGAGGGATACCAGCCTATGGCTCCCCACTGTGCTGTTGTCAGCCCTTGCGTGTTGAGCTGATATAGCAGCCACATACACCCTGACGGTAGCGGGACACTGGCCATCGTCCAGGAGGGACTGTAGGAACTCAAAGGTCGTAGGCACCGAGCAATATACTGGGTCCTCATTTCGCCCTTGGCACCAGTCAGAAAAACAGTTTCCACCTGTTTCTGTACTGCCTACAAGTAGATGGTGCCCTAGCATTTGAGAATAGTCTTCCTGACAGACTCTATGCAGTCACTCAGCAGTGGGTCGGGCCCTCCAGTGGCCAGACCCACAGCTGGAGACGGCAGGGGTTGGGGTGCCACATCCGACCCTCCAACTGAGACAAGAGGTCCTTCCTGTTGGGGAGACGCCAAGGCGTCCCACAGCAGAGTCTGTGCAGCAGATGGACAGGCCCGCACCTAGCTGGGTTAAATAAGGAAGTTTAACAGGAGAGCCAGGCGGCTCCTGCTAGAATCAAGCAACACGCCTACCAGGAGCAGGGGCGAGAACACTGCCTTCACTGGTTGAGTTGATAACGAATTCCAGATGCAGCGTAACCGACAGCCGGCCCCAGAGCCTCAGTGCCTTGCCCCCCGGCCTCTGGCTCTGGGGGGGCGACGGTTAGGCACCGGATACCGAGGCTGTCTTGGGGGCGAGTTAACAGGACCGTAGCGGGCCGGCCCCCTCGTGGGGCGCTGAGGCCCATGGCGAGCACCGGGGTGAGCCGGTGGATGGGAGCGACCTTGGGAGGCAGACGCGGAACCACTAGGCCTACCGGGGGGGGGGGGGGGGGGGGGGGGGGGGGGGGGGGGGGGCATGCCTCTGCGAAGAGCTGAGAACTGTTGCCTGGTCTGACTAGCTTGGACAGTCCGTTCGTTCAGCTGAACCGAACAGCTCCCCCGGCTCCACTGGGACAGCACGGAGAGTCCTCCTACATGTCTCTGATAAGGGTGACTGTGCCAGCCAAACCTGGCGACGAGTCTGGACGAGAGTGGACATCAGGCGGCCAAGCTCTCTAGACATCAGAGCAAACGCCTGTAATGAGGCGTCACTGAGGCTGGTAGAAGAAGCGCTGAGAGCATCCTGCTGCAGGGAAGCTGAGAGGGCGAGCATGAGGTGAGAGAGGGAATTGCCTATACGGCCCATGCGCGCAGCTGCATCGTAAGCCTTAGTGAGCAGGTCATCAGTGACCCGACATTGGAGTCGAGGGCACTTGTATGCATGTAACTCCCTCAGATACTCACAAGAGGGAGGAACAGTAAAGGTGGCGGGTGCCGGAGTGCGCCTAAAGAACGCACTGGCAAGCGCTGTTTCGGGCTGCTGTGCATCCAGCTGCTGGTGAGCCAGTGCCATGCGAATGACTGTACCCATGGAGCCGTCATCTGCCTCCTCCGAGGATCCATGAGCTGAGGTACAGGAGCCAGGCCCAGAAGCATGGGATGGGCTCTCCCCGTCATACTCATTAAATTAAGTGGCTGAAGCTGCCATCGAGAACACATCGTCATCTAGAACCAGCTCAGCCACGGGTGGATCGGGTGGATCGGGTGCAGCGGGTGGATCGGGTGCAGCGGCGTGCTCTGTACGGGCACCAGAATGGAGAGCCAAGAGGAGTGACTTCATCTGGGCTAGCTCAGTAGTGAGTAGGTCCACCCTGGAGGACAGCCTATCAGGCTTAGTCCTCTTCTTGGGTGGTGCACCCGCAGCCTCTGCAGCCCAACGCCTAGGATGGGTAGGTTGGGCTGGAGTCGACTGTGCAGGGGGAAGGCCACCCTCAGTCAGTAGTTCAACCTCGGCTAGTCTAGCAGCTCTTACCGCACGAGTCATGATGGTGCAATTCATGCACGGGTCCTCCGAAAGGCCCTCCCTCAGATGCTCGAGGCCAAGACAAGAGGGGCAAAGGTCATGGCCATCCTCTGGTTGAAGAGGAGCCATACAGGTGTTAGAGCCGTTAGACATAGCGATAGCTAGAGCACTCAGCTGACTGTAAATAACTGGGCCAGGAAACAAATATGCAGTGGAGGGGAGTGAGCACAATAGTAGTTAGCGTGAGCACTCTGCTAACTGGGGTGAGAAAAAATGAAATCAGTTAATGGGTTTATGCCATGAGAGGAGAGAGGGAATACTCTCTCCACTAGCGCCGTAGCGAGTTAGCCTAAGCGAGAGCACTCTGCTAACTGAAGGATGGAACGGGCATTAAACCAACTGTGTGCAGTGAGAGGGGAGCGGAAACACTCTCTTCACTAGCGCTGTAGCAAGTTAGCTTTGAGCGAGAGCACTCAGTTAACTGGAGGATGGA